TCAAACCCACTTCCTTCTAGCACTGATGATGTTACCTCGTTAGGTAAGGAAACGTCTGCAAGAAAATAACCCAGCTTGGGAAGCACCAAGGACCCCATCACAATTCAACCTTGAGCTACAAATATTCTCTTCCATTGGTTTCCCCGTAGATAAGGGCAAACCTTAAAATATACACCCTCCTTTTCACGTCTGTTGGGCTTCAGACGGGGTCCCGTGGTTCTTGGTCCAGAGGACTTACTATCTCTAGGAAGCCAAGAACCATTGAAATCAGCCTGGGCAAAGAACCGGCCTCCAAGTTGTGTTTGTTGTCTGATCTTTTCACTTCCTTCCCCTGCTCAGCCCACCCCCCACCCCCCGCGAGGAGGCTGCACCAGGGAAGGAAACCAGAGTGTGCTGAACACAATGGAAAGGAAGCACTTGGGCTTTGCTGCGATGTGTAATGCTTTCCAGGCTGCAAAGTCACGAGGCTGTGGCAAACAGTTGCGCATCAAAGCAAATGCCACAGCAGATGCCCGTGTGCCTGGCTGCCCAAGATGGAGGCTTTGGTAAGGACCTGCCCAGTGGTGGGATTCAAATAGGTGAACGACCGGTTCTCTGTGTGGATGCTGCTTCCGGAAGTCCATTCTGGGCCTGGGCAATAAAAAATTAGCTACTGATTTGGTGCGAACCGACTGAATCCCACCACTGGACCTGCCTTTATAAGCTGATTTACAGAATAATATAGATACAACAGAGCTGGAAGGGACCTTGGAGGTCTTCTAGTCCAACCCCGGGCTCAGGCAGGAGATTCTGCACTATTCTGGACAAACAGTTGTCCAGTCTCTTCTTAAGAACCTCCAATGATGGAGCATCCACAATGTCTGGAGGCAAGCTGTTCCACTGATTACGTAATTGTTCCCTGTCCAAAAATTCCATATTACCAGGTCGAATCTCCCTCTGACTTCCACTCCCAGAATTCCCTAGCCAGCATGCTTTAAGATGGGTGGATCCTAGAATCATAGGACTGCAAGAGACCTTGGAGGTCATCTATTCCAACCACCTGCTCAAGGAGAAAATCCTATAACAGGGGGTCTTCAAATTTGGCCCTTTTGTAACTTGTGGACTTCAACTCAACATGCCTGGCTGAGGAATTCTGGGAGTTGAAGTCCACAAGTCATGAAGCGACCTTAGATCCTCCATGCTGGCTGAGGAATTCTGGAAGTCCACAGGTCATGAAGGGGCCATAGTTCCCCCATGCTGGCTCAGGAATTCTGGGAGTTGAAGTCCACGAGTCATGAAGGGGCCACAGTTCCCCCATGCTGGCTGAGGAATTCTGGGAGTTGAAGTCCACAAGTCATGAAGGGGCCATAGTTCCCCCATGCTGACTCAAGAATTCTGGGAGTTGAAGTCCACGAGTCATGAAGGGGCCACAGTTCCCCCATGCTGGCTGAGGAATTCTGGGAGTTGAAGTCCACAAGTCATGAAGGGGGCCATAGTTCCCCCATGCTGGCTGAGGAATTCTGGGAGTTGAAGTCCACAAGTCATGAAGGGGCCATAGTTCCCCCATGCTGGCTGAGGAATTCTGAGAGTTGAAGTCCACAAGTCCGCAACAACTTCAATGACTCAACAAGAAAAGTCACAAAATGGGGCAAAGCTCATTTAACAAATTTCTCATTGTGGCTATAAGGCAAGTTGTTCCACTGATTAATTGTTCTCACTGTCAGGAAATTTCTCCTTAGTTCTAGGTTGCTTCTCTCCTTGATAAGTTTCCATCCCTTGCTTTTTGTCCTACCTTCAGGCACTTTGGAGAATAGCTTGACTCCCTCTTCTTTGGGGCAGTCCCTGAGATACTGGAACACTGCTATCATCCTTCTCTTTATTAAATCACACATACCCAATTCCTGCAACCGTAGCTGATTAATCATCACAGCTGTTGTTTATACATATTTATTTTGTGGCTGTTTTTATTGTTTTAATGCCTTTTAAATTGTTTAGAATGTTTTACAATTTTGCTTGGTTGAGTTGGGGGCTGTAGGATTTGACAAAAACAAATAAATAATTTTGGCCATCTCTTGAGGCCTTACCGCTGGAATTTGGAGGCCAAATAACTATATTCCAGCAATGTGTGGGGAGGGGCGAAGGACAAGGAATAAAAACAAACAAAAATAGAGTTAGAGCAGTGGTGGCGAACCTACGGCACGGGTGCCAGAGGCGGCACTCAAGAGCCCTCTCTGTGGGCACGCTAGGCCTTCAGCTGGGTTTTATAAAACCTTTTTGCTTTAGGCCTCCGCTGCCATGTGCAAAAAAAAAAAGGTTCAATCAATCACTCAATTTCAACTTCTCGCGGGAAAAAAAAAGATCTTGCAAAGTTGGAATTGATTGATTGAACTTTTTAGTCCCACCCAGTCTGCCGTGACCACCGCAGCCACGCCCAGCCAGTGGGCCATGCCCAGCCAGCACCCAACGATGCATAAGTGGGTTTTGGGTTGCAGTTTGGGCACTCGGTCTCTAAAAGGTTCGCCATCACTGACTTAGAGCAAATGGATCACCTGTTTCTAAGAGCCCTGGTGGTTAGAAGGCAAACTCTGCCCATAGTTAGGAGTTTGATCCTGACCGGCTCAAGGGTTGACTCAGCTTTCCATCCTTCCGAGGTCAGTAAAACGAGGACCCAGATTGTTGGGGGCAAATAGGCTGACATTTGTAAACCGCTTAGAGAGGGCTGTAAAGCACTGGGAAGCGGTATAGAAGCCTATGTGCTATTGCTAAGAGTAGTTAGCATGAGGCCTCTGCCTGGGACACCATCTCACCCCATTTCCTGCCTCTGCCCCCCCTCGCCCCGAAAACAAAAATAAAAAGGCTGAATTGTGCAGTTAAACGTCAGGAGCAAAACCACTTTTTGGGTCACGTGGTTTTGGAGTTTGAGTGAGTTGGCAAATGTAAGACTTGGAGCCGTTTGCTCTCCAAAGGATTTACAGTCTCGTTCCCACCTTTAAAACCCTCCATGAACACCAACATCTGGATTAAACATTTCATTACACCAACATCTGGATTAAACATTTCATTCCGGGGACATCTGATAGTTGTTGGGGGAAAACTGCTATCGCCCACAGAGCAAAGGAAAGCAAATGCACACCATTCAAACATCCTCAAACACAACACATTTTCAACTCAGAAGAAACATCTCTGGTTTTTAACTATGATGTACAGCAGGTCTTTTCAACCAGGGGTACGGGTACCACCTGTGGTACATTGGCACCTGGCAGGTGGTACGTGACCATCCTAGAAAAGTGGTAGCGGGGAAGGGGAATGAGCTGAACCGGTGGCAGCACTGCACAAGCCTGACCGAGAGACGGCTGGAGCTGCAGGGCTGTCAGGGCTCAGCGGAAGCGCCAGGATCGGCGTCAGGCTCCAGCTGGAGCTCAGCGCTGATCCTGGCGCTTCTGCTGAGCCCTGAAGAAGCACCAATCAGCTGGAATGTTGTAGCATCTTCAAGGTCTTGTGATTTACCTTCAGATGCTTGGCAACTGATTCATATTTATAACGGTCACAGTGTCCCAGGTAATGTGAAGTGACCAAAACCTGCTGCAACCACCCAGCAGATGGGGGGGAATAAAAATCAAACACCCCCCCACCCCACCCCACCCCCGCTGCCAATCCTCAATAGAAATGCTCACAACAATGAAAACCTCGGACAGGAGGAAGAGCGCCACTGGATGGGTAGGCAGGTGCCTTGCTCGGCTGTGGCTTGGGGGGCACTTTTTTCAGTGCCATTGTAACTTCGAACAGTCACTAAGCGAACCGTTGTAAGTTGAGGACTACCTGTACTTGATCACTTTTTTCCTTTCTTTTTTTGTCATCAAGTTTTTGACACCTTGCTAGGCGACTGTTGGTACTCGGATGCTGCCATATCCTAAAAGTGGCACAATGGGTGAAAAGGTTGTAAAGGCCTGATGTACAGAACACAGAATAATGGAAGGGACCTTGGAGGTTTTCTAGTCCAACCTCCTGCTCAAACAGGAAACCCTATAAGACAGTGATGGCGAAGCTTTTAGAGACCGAGTGCCCAAACTGCAACCCAAAACCCACTTATTTATCGCCGGTCCCAGGTGGGCGTGGCCCACTGGGTGGGCGTGGCTGTGGTGGTCATGGCAGATTGGGTGGGTGTGGCCAAGGTGGGCATGATCACCTCAATGTTGCTTGTGGGGAGGGAGCCTGTGGGGGCCGGGCAGGGTTGGGGGAGATCCAGGGGGTCTCTGGCAGGTGGGCGGTGGGCAGGAGACTCATCCTGAGGGGTGAGGCGAGGCAGGGCGGGGGTGCCATTGTCGCAGGGCAAGATGAGGCAAGGGCTGGGGCTGCTGCTGCCTGACATCATCGGCCCCCGCACACAGAGGCCAGCGAGCGCATGGGGGCCGACAGTGTCTGTCAGCAGCCACAGCCTGCCAGCCCGTCGACCGGCGCATTCGGGCTCCACAGCCCGTCCCCAGCAGTTCAGAGAAGCCGCCTCTGAGGTGGACGGCTGGCCGACAGCTGAGGAGGCGATGCAGTGGGTCATGCCTGGGAAAAGGAGAGCACGCGAGGCCAGGAGGGATGGGATGGGGGGGGGGGGAGGGAAACAAGCCATGCTGGGATGCATCCGGCCACGTGGGACCTCGGCGAGTTAGCAGGCGGCTGGTTGAAGAAGGACAGTTGCCATCTCTGGGGCATGGTGCGCATGCCCACAGAGAGGCCTCTGAGTGCCGCCTCTGGCACGCGTGCCATAGCTTTGCCACCACTGCTATAATGTTTCCTCCTTGAGCAGGGGGTTGGACTAGATGACCTCCAAGGTCCCTTCCCGCTCTGTTATTTTGTTGTGCTGCTGTGTTGATGTCCAACCTTCCTACCTCCGCTTCCCAGTTTGTCGCCCGCCTCCTCTGCCCGAAATATTTAATAAAAATAATAATAAAGTTGGAGGGGACCTTGGAGGTCATCTAGTCCAACTAGGTTTGATCCCTCCCTCCCCCGACGCGAAACACGGAACTCACCTGAATGGTCTTCAGACTGGTTGAACCCGCAGATTTGGCAGATGCTCCTCACCCATTTGTTCATTTCGTCCTCCGTTTCGGCCACCAGGTAGAAAGTCCTCTCGCTGGTCTTGATGTCAAAGACGAAACTGTCCTGCAGCTCCTTCTTGTTGAAGGTCAACCCGGCGTCCACCTGTTCACAAAAGCTGAGGTTGATCACGCGCAGAGGCTTCTTGGAGTGATTGTTTTTGTAGTACTCCAGGACGTCAGGATCGCCGCTCATCCGGCCGCTGCGAAGGATAAACCATCGTTTCTTCCAGGCCTGGAAGACACAGAAAAAAAGAGAATTGAATTTGAATTCTTGGAAACAGAAGCAACTGTCTCAGGATTGGTTACAATAGTCCAGGGGTAGGCAACCTTGGCTCTTTTATGACTTGTGGACTTCAACTCCCGGAATTCCTCAGCCAGCATGGCTCAGCTTGGAAACCTTTCCCTTTCCCCTCAGCATGGCTGGCTCAGGAATTCTGGGAGTTGAAGTCCCCAAGTCATGAAGCGGCCATAGTTCCCCCATGCTGGCTGAGGAATTCTGGGAGTTGAAGTGCAGCAGTCATAAAAGAGGCCAGGTTTGAAGACCCCTGCTCTAAAAGAATACAAATGACCAGCTGTCTGCAAGGAGTATAAATCCTTCCATTTCCCTGACCATTCAATCAGAACCTGAAGAAGCTTCTTGGGATGAGAAGCAAAATGTCTTCAAAGAAAAACAAGGCAGTCCAATTGCCTCCTGAAAAAAAGCACCTTTGGGACAACCATGATCTGGATCAGACATGGCCGGCGAAGCCATCCTGGAAACTGAGGGAACGGCCCCCGCTGCCTTGGCCCTGGCCCAGGCCGGCCGGGAGCCAATGTACAATTTTGTGGTGGCCATCTGTGCTGAAACGCATTCAGTCTTAGCTCCACGAGGCTGTCTGGAAACAGCGAGGAACCAGCCCCTGCTGCATTGGCCCCGCTCCTGGGTGCATGCTGGGGAGGTGTCACCCCTTTGTGAGGAATGAAGAAAAGCACCATGCCTTGGTGCTTGCCCCGGTCCCACCCCCTTCTGCCAGAGACCCTCAGATCTGTCCCACTCCTGCCCAGGCCCCCACAGGCACCCTTGACGCGAACAATGTAGAGCTGGCCACGCCCACCCAGTAGGCCACACCCACTCCATCCACGCCCACCCTGGCCACACCCACCCGGCCCCCCAAGGGCAACCGCAATACTGATGCGGCCCTCAATGAAATTGAGTTTGACACCCCTGACCTGGATGATGTAGAGTCTCCATAGACCAGTGTTTCTCAACCTTGACAATTTTAAGGCATGTGGACTTCAACTCCCAGAATTCCACAGCCAGCAATGCTGGATGTGGAATTCTGGGAGTTGAAGTCCACATGCCTTAAAATTGTCAAGGTTGAGAAACACTGCCATAGACGTTCTTAACATGTTTTAGTCTTCAGGTCTTTAATCATAAATCCTCCATTTACGACCCAGATTGAGCCAAATTTTTCCGTTGTTAAGCGAGGCGGTTGTTGAGTGACTTGCACCTGACTTTATGATTGTTTCTGCCACAGTTTTTAAGTGAATCACTCCCGTTGTTAAGTGAATCTGGCTTCCCCCATTGATTTTTCTTTGTCAGAATCCAGCTGGGAAGGTTACAAATGGTGATCACAGGACCCCGGGACAGCGCAACCGTCATAAACACCTGTCAGTTGCCAAGTGTCTGAATTTTGATCACATGACCCCTGGGGAACGATGCAACGGTCATACGTGTGAAAAACAATAAGTCCCTTTTTTCGTCGTAACTTTGAACAGTCACTAAATGAATGACTGTAACTCGAGGACGACCTACATTGCTCTTGTCATTACCCAATGAAATGCCGGGCAGCTGCACCCAATCACATCCATTCTCATTTGCATAAAACTATAAAGGGAGAGGGTCTTCTTCCTGTTTTTAAAAAATCCTGTCTCTTCTCTAATGTTGTCAAAAAAACATTTTGTGTTTCCGTGTCACCTGTCCATTGTCGGAAATTTTTTCTCTTCCTTTCAGATGTCGTCATTCTTTGTTTTTAATTGGTTTTTTTTTTTAAATTGGTATTCTGGAAACTGCCCAGAGGTATAAACAGATTGGGGCATCTTATTAACTTCTTAAAGAAATCAATAAGCTGGCCAACACTTGAGGCCGGAGCGCTACGCCCAAATCTTGCGATTTTCCTCCTGCTATTTCTTCCTCTTGGAGAGAAACTCAGGGTCTCTTTCAGTAAACGAGGAAGAGGAAGGGGAACAGACGCTTCCCCGGGTCAACAGATGTAGTCCTCAACTTACAACAGTTCATTTAGTGACTGCTCTAAGTTACAACGGTACTGAAAAAAACTGACTTACCACTGTTTTTCACATTGACGACCGTTGCAGCATGATCGAAATTCAGACGCTTGGCAATTGACACGTACTTATGACGGTTGCAGTCTCCTGGGGTCATGTGATCCCCTTTTGCGACCTTCTGACGAGCAAAGTCAACGGGAGGGAGTCAGATTCACTTAACAACCATATTCCTAACAACTGCAGTGATTCACCTAACGACGTGTCAAGAAAAGTCTTAAAATGGGGCAAAACTCACTTCACAAAAGTTTCACTTAGCCACAGAAATCTGGGGGGGGGTCCGTTCTGGTCGTACGTTGAGGAGTTCCTGTAGTTGTCCTTCTCCAATGGCTAATTCTGACATTCAACATTATCGTTAGGGCATCATTGCAACTTCAAGAGACACAGGTGACAAATCCACCCAGTTTTGAGTGATTTGTACTTCAGCAGAGGAGGGGATGACACTGTCGGTCGCATCGGCTGCAATTTCGGAGACAAATAAATCACAGCAGGAGAGAAAACATCCAGAGGACTTGTTTTGAAGCCTGTTGGCTGAAATGTGTGTCAAGAGATGCATGCTAATTCATTTGTGTGTCCTAATACAGCGGGGATTGTCAAAACACATTATGGGTTTATGCGGGAGCTGCGCGCGCCTGGGAATGATTCAAAAGAGCTGCTTTGGACTTGCTATTAATTAATACAGCCCCATCTCTTTCCCCCCAGCCTCCAGACTTCCACATGAGTTTAAACAAAGAGATGGGGCTGCTTTAAAGAGTCGTCTCATTGGAAACAGCTCTTTAAGCAGCCCCATCTTTTTTCACACCGCCACATCAGCTAAAACAAGAAGATGGGGCTGCTTTAATGAGTCAGCTGATGAAAACAGCTCTTCAAGCAGCCCCATTTTTTTTCCCAGACTTGCGCCTGAGCTGCTTTGGACTTGCCGATTAACACAGCCCTATCCCCCTTTTTTTTCAGACCTCCACATGATTTTAAACAAAGAGATAGTGCTGCTTTAATGAGTCGGCTCATGAAAACAACTCTTCTAGCCACCCTGTCTGTTTTTCAGACTTGCACCTGAGCGTAAACAAAGCAATGGGGCTGCTTTAATGAGTCTCTTTTCAGCCTTCTACATCAACTTAAACAAAGGGATGGGGCTGTTTTAATGAGTCAGCTATTGAAAACAACTCTTCAGGCAGCCTATCTTTTTTCAGAGTTGCTTTCGGAAAGCTTAAAAAAAGAAGAGACGGTTGCTTTCAGAAGCAGCTGGGAGGTGCTATGCTCGCATAAAGTCTGAGGCATTCCTTCTGAATCATTCAGCTTTAGTTTTATGGTAGCTGGAGTTAGGGATTTGTCCTTCCCATCTGTTAGATTTTTGCAAGATAGCAAGCCCCTATTAACCATGATATTTTTGGCTTTTAGGTAGGGCTGCTAAGTAAGAGACCAGAAGTTCCAAAACCCAGAGCCCAGTTTACTAAACAATGTTGTTTTTGTCAGAAAGAAGACAGAACATGTCCTACACAATATCTGTAAATGATTTTTTTCTGCCCGACCCCAAAAAACCTCTTGGAATGATCTCGAATTGGCTGGAAATAACCTCGAATGGGCAATGAATGCAGAGCTGTGATTGAGGAGTATTGTCAGTACACTCTGATCCTAGATGACAAACGGCTGAGTTAGTAGGTTTGTGGAAGCTCAGTCTGGAGAAACATTTATTTAGCATGTTTGTATGTTACAAGGCTTTCCAAGTTGGTCAAGCCAGACTACACTAAAGTTGATACAATGGGAATTCAAGGGGCAGGTGGAACATACGAAGTAAATCAATTTTAGAGCACTAATAAAAATGGAAAAGTAGATTTTAAAGTGAAAACCAACCAATTACTCTACTGTAATTACTGTAATTAAGTTCTGCAGTTTTTATTTATGATGAATTATTCAATACAATGAAATGCAAACAAGCACACACAGACCACATCCATCAGATGCGATCTTTAACCATCAACTAAGATCAGTGTTTCCCAAACTTGACAATTTTAAGGCATGAGGACTTCAACTCCCAGAATTCCACAGCCAGCGTTGCTGGCTGTGGAATTCTGGGAGTTGAAGTCCTCATGCCTTAAAATTGTCAAGTTTGGGAAACACTGACTAAGATGATTAAGGCTCTGGAGACTACAACATATGAAGAACAGGTGCAGGATTTGGGAATGGCTAGTCTAGAGAAAAGAAGGACTACAGGAGACATGATAGCAGCGTTCCAGTATTTGAGGGCCTGCCACAAAGAAGGGGGGGGAGTGTCAATTTATTTCAAAAGTACCTGAGGGCAGAACAAGATACAATTGGATGGAAACTAATCAAGGAGAGAAACAACAGGGAATTAAGGAGAAACTTCCTAACAGTGAGAATAATTAACCAGTGGAACAGCTTGCCACCAGAGGTTGTAGGTGCTCCATCACTGGAGGATTTTAAGAAGAGATTGGACATGCATTTGTTGAAATGGTAATGTAGTCCAACCCTCTGCTCTAGCGGGTGACCCTATACCTCAGGGGTCTTCAAACTTGGCCCTTTTATGACTTGTGGACTTCAACTCCCAGAATTCCTATGGGGCCATAGTTCCCCACCTCTGTCCTAGATAAAACCAGCATTTCTCAGCCTACAGGCTGGCTGAGGAATTCTGGGAGTTGAAGTCCACAAGTCATAAAAGGGACAAGTTTGAAGACCCCTGCTGTACCTCAACTTATATTATACCTCGACTTACAACCGTTCATTTAGGGACTGTTCGAAGTTACAACATCACCGAAAAAGTGACTTATGACTGTTTTTCACACTTAACAACTGCTGTAGCATCTCCATGGTCATGGGATCAAAATCCAGACCCTTGGCCAGGGGTAGGCAACCTTGGCTCTTTTATGACTTGTGGACTTCAACTCCCAGAAT